CCTTTAAAGCTTTTAAAATAACAATTGGAAATTTTCGATATATAATATGTTATTCACCCCACCTCCTCTAATTATTTGCTTCTTGACGACTAAAGCCTTTCGGAACTATTTTTAAACTATTACATCGAATTATTATTTAACTGGCATGATATGGCGCCGCTTGCCCTACCGCTAAGGCTCGGCCTTTTGTGACTGCTGTTAAAGATCCTTGATGAATCCGACTGTGTAACAAAAAGGCTACGATTAAGTGTGCCAATACGCTGTATCCATGTATAAACTAAAATTGAAACGAATATCTGACCAGCTTGACAATTACGTGAGTTACACGTACGTACTTATGCAGTATGTTCCTGATACTTATTATTATCGCTTCCAGATAGAGGGTGCTATTTCTAAACGATTTTCAATATTTCTAATATAGTGGCCAAAATAGCTCCTAGGTAGTTCGAGGACAACCAGGTTCACATCTAAATATATATCTTCTTCGATGAAGTATTTTTCGACGAGAAGATCACTGAAACTAGCCAGCTAGATACTACTAAGTGCGTATGGAGGAGACCTCAGTTATTGGAGCATGTCATATCGTCAAGCACTTTTCCATTGATATCCTACTATTTCATGCTGTCTATAATATATCTTTTATCACTCCCTACTTACAACGATTGCGTAACATGTAAAAAGTCTCTAGCAAGTTGAAGATACTATTGAAGTAGCAGAAGAACGGCAAATGATTGCGTTACTCAGCATTTCTAACCGTGCAACGCATCTCTAACGATGATGCCCTGATGCCACTTCTACATTTGTACATTATGTTGAAGACATGCCTCGTAGTATTCTAATATTGGTCAACACAGACATTCGAATCATCTCAATGGCCATTGTTTTTATGAGGGATATACCACTCAATGGTGCTCGACTGCCCTATTTGATCAGTTTGCCCAGTTGGTTATCTTGAGTACTCCTGTCGATTACAACACAAATGCTGAGCTATCAGTTTATTCAAGAACAGTGCTTATGGAAGGCCTTGTTTGGCTGGCCTTGCCACACTCATCGGAGGAATAGAATTTTTTATTTAATCTTCCTCAAAACCTACCACGTGCTCTCCGCAATTAGACACATAGTTTACAAACAGTAATCCTTTCCCTGGATACGTGACATTATAGACTATGGCTTATCATATAGACATGTACTCACGACAATGATCATCAAGATAGCTTTACATACGGGTTGAAGCCGCCGAACCTACTGGCAGTGACAAACGTTAATTCGTTCGTTACTGCTGTAGCTATTGTGTGGTAACATATACTAATGTTGTGGCACAATGATATAGTATTGATAAAAGAATGCCCCAGCTAGATATATAAAACGCAAATCTATCTTTTCCGAACCTCTGCCTCAGGCCATCATATGTTGCAAAATGTGGGCCTCAAGGGGTTCCGTTAATTTAGCCTTTTCTTCTGTGAGTGCTAAGCCCATGTATTCTAAGTAGGCCTCCAAGGGGCAAATACTCGGCAGATTTTCAAAACAGTAGGCAAGGATTGCCGATGCGCTTATTACTGTGTTATCAACGGCTTGTTTCATTCATTCAATGGGTACTTCATGCCACTTTTACGTAAATACGGACCGTTTCCCACTTAAATTGAAAACAGATCTTTGACTTAAAAGAATATTTTGTAAATCAGCCACTTAGACACAGAACTTGAGACCCCTAATATGCGATCCTAACAAAACTGAATCTGCTTTTTTATGATTAGCTCAAAGAACGTCCTTCTATTACATTCAGAATTTTGGGTAATGTCAGACTTTAATTGTTTGATTCGACAAGTGTTTAATTTAGCTTTAAAAAAGTTTCATCTTATTGGGAAATCTTCTTCAACCTTTTTTAAATGCTTTCCTTAAAATTAAAGTGATTTGATGGGTATTCCTGTAACTATTAATTATAAACGTCTAGACTATTTCACTCAGATGTTCGCTGTTAGAATGAACACTCGCGCCGACCTGCCGGTCCTTGAAATGTAAAGAAAAGAAACATATATTCACATAAAAATTTCCGTTGTATTGCGGCAGTTAATTCGATCCCGATCTCAGCGATTTTCATTTTATAGACGATTGAAATTAACACAGTTTAGCCAATGCCAATTCATGAAAGCAATTAAAGAACTTCATTCAATATATAAAATTATATGATGACATAAAAATAATGAATATTATAAAGTTTTGACGATCGTGGGAGCACATGTCGCTTTCGGTCATCAACATAGTTTATGAAATTTTCCTCCCATATTTTATGCCCGGTACCTAAGGCCCTTACGGAGTTAAGGAATTTCATCCGTTAAAGAAGACAGAAGAAGGAAGGCAGCTGGCTCCCGCCGGCATGAAACGAACTTACTGTATGCCCGGGTTCGAACCGAGGTCGTTACTTGTACCTCGCAGGCGAACAGGTTATTCAGTGCACACTATCACGACGGCACATTTCGTGCAAAACTAGAGTCCTCACTGTTAAGCGAAGTTTAAGGAAGGTGAACCCTAATAACAACATTAGAGAGCGGAGATCTCGTATACTAGAACATATCATCCTATTATTTTTAATCGTAAAGGGTCGACAGCGATAACGAGTCAGGTTTAAGCAAAAGGCAACCCCATTCCTAGCTTTTCAAAAGCGAGCGCTCGCTGGTCGCGGAACAGGTGTGAAAAAAAAACGTCAGTAGATGTGCTAGGAAGGCTCTGGACGAGCAAGCGGTAACAAACTTGTCCCGATAACTCTAGCTCCGATACGAAGCATCGAACGTGTGTGGTTATGAAATAGATGAATCAAAATCCGCGCCCTGAATTACGATTTTTTTAGCGTCGGATGAGCTAATCAGTCTATTTTTTATAGAGTAGAGTTCCACGCAGTAGCTAACAAAGTTTTTTTTTGGGCATACACACATACTATAAGTAGGTCTGCGTTTCTATCTTTTGCCGAAAACGAATGTCTTTAACATTTTACTGTTAACAACATCAATAACATCAACAACTACTACAGTTGAACGTGACTCCTGTTTTAGTCAGTCTAGCTGCATGTGTGTCTATTTGTGATATATCTACACCTATAGAATATGAATAGATTTGTTTTTTGTTGTCGATCAAATCCGTTTACGGTGTAGAGCTATAACGAAGTGATGATGATTTTCCTTTCCTGTCGGACCCTCGCCGCTATTGTTCCTAGGATAAGGCTGATGGCTGCAAAAGGGAGATTAGCGTCCGAAATTTTAAAATGTGCGGCTATATCGAACTGCCGTCGCCGCTTCGGCGAGTGGTGGCGTTGCAAATAGTAGCAAAACGGCGGCTTAGATTCAAAATAACGCTACGGAAGCCCCTGCTTTTTTACTGCCACCCATATAGTATCTTCTTTTATAGGTCAATAACGCAGAGTAGTATTTGTAGCAGTAGTAGCAACACACGTAAACAAACGTGGCCATAAGTAAATTTGCTAAGAGATAGATCATCGGTCGATTTTAATATACGATGTCAATGACGAACATCAGTAAACAACAATAAAAGCCATTATTAGAGAATCAGAGCAATATAACAGATCAGCTGACGCGCAAACGGTCCTGCACTGCCGAGACACACCGCCACCTTGAACCTAGACCAGCGTAGGTTGCTACAATATTTTTCACCTGCATGTGCAACAGAAAGATCTCATATGAACGTACTCTGGGCAGGTAAGTAGAATCCAGCAAATAACGTTTTGCTGATCAGTTGGGTAAATGCACAGCCACCGCTTTCCCCGGCGGCGATACCCTTATTTCAGTGTCGGCCAACAGACAGATTTCCGTGGCTCGACGAAGACAAGTGCAGACTTCTGCAAACGAAACCACACGCGATCGCAGGACGCGCGATTTTATGAAACTTCGATTTACGGAGCAGACCATTGCTGCCCCCGTTGCACTGGGGTGTGCTTTGTTAGGGATGCAGAGATATGGAGGCGAGAAGCGGAGGACGTTGGGGCCGCTGGGGGCGGAGGAGTCTTTGGCCCAGAGTCAAGTCTATTGAGATAGTACGATGCAAGTTTTATCGACTCAGATATTGCAGCCCGGCCGATACAAGCGAAGCTGTTCAAAATGGCCGACGATTTTTCTGAGGCAGTTTGGTTCCGCCCTGTTACCGTATATGGGTAACGCTAACGCCGATATCAGTATCATAATAATTATCATCAGTAGCAGCATCATTACCGTCATAACTATTATCATGCAGGAGCTATCACAGCTGAAATGGCGATGGTAGGGAACAATGTAGCAGCATAGCAAAAATAGAGGCGGTGAAAAATCACCGTAATAACAAAATCACGCCAGAAGGATAGAGCCTGAGGGAGTGTATTCATATGGGCACTATTCATTGTGTATGAAAAACGTCGTTTGCACCTAATAGCTGGCAGAAATCCGATGACATTTTAAATCTTTGTCCTTCATTTCGAAGTACGTTCTGTCCGGCTGCGGTTTATTTATTCGTCCCCCACACCTCTAAGGGTTTACTTTGGCGGTGCTGTTGTTCGAGATGCTGTCAATTCAGCCTCCTAAGAACCATAACCTCTTCGACATTTCTATAATGTGTCAATTTAATCGATTGTGTGCACTACTCATTCCGGTCACTTGACCGGAAGTCAATACCGAAACAACATCAGCTATTGCTGATGATTTTGTTCTTTGTCGCTGCTTTGTGTTCAAATGCGGAGGTCGCCTTTCGACTGCTAATGCTGTTAAAGCTGATCGAACTTGGCTAATGTGTTAGGCAATATTTTTTGCTTAAGGATAGTTTTTCTCGTATCAGTCTTTTTTGGCAATAACTGTGAACAGTTATTAATAGGGTATAATGACTCGTAAAAGACAACGCAAACTCTAGCGAAGGTCGTATTTTTATAGTAGTATACAGTATATATAGACTGAAACCTGAAGCTAATTAGAGTGGGCCACAGGGGTCCTGATGACAATGGGGAGTGCAGTAGCACTATCCGACTATTTCGTATGCAGGTTTTATTTATAATAGCTAAGCAGGCGTTAAACACGGCGGATTCGGTGTAGTGTGTTTTTTTTAAGTATCGTAATTCCGTCTGCTCTTGTAGGGAATCGTACCGTGTTTACCTTATGTAACGTTATCGTGCTGTACGCTGTCGCCGTTGACGATGTTTGCTTAACGTTTTTTTGCCTAAAATGTCTTTGCTTGGTACCAAGGTCACCTTTCGTCACAGGCCGTTAGGCATTGCTGTGAGTTACGAAGCCTAACAGAGTTTCTGGACATTATAATTATTATTGAGCCTATGAAGGATGAATAGGTCGTCTGTCTATGTGTGTCAAAGACTATTCAAAAATTGCGTATTCAATCAATAATGTTCAACCAAATGAAACCTAATTTTGTCTAGGCTTAGTAGATATCTGAAACATTAAAATATTATGTTTAGTTAAGTAAACGTTAATACTTTCAATGTTGTAGATCAGTCAGAAATGTTCTACCCAGCTGCACATTTCAACGTCTCGTTTCTCTCAAGGCTACATAGTCCGTGGTACAAATGGACATTTCTTTAAGTGCGTTTCCATGGCGGCCAATAACTTATCAGGATACCACAGTGAGCTCTATTGGAGAAACTCCAGCTAAATGTAAAAAACCCACCTCAAATTAAGCTCCTAACGAGGTAAGGCAAATTTTTCATATAGTACCTAAAAAAGAGGTCATCTTGAGGACATGTTTACATAGGGAGAAGAGCTATAAGTGACAAAAGAAAAACACTAAAAAGTAAAACAAAATGTCTTGCTTCATGCACTTTCTATGTTGACTATAATATTTGCTCGAAATTTCGTATCCTCGGACATGAAATTCGCCAGTGCGCTTTTCCCAGATTACTGTGCAGGAAGTTTGGCTCCAGCGTCAATGAGTACCTTTTATACTGTTCGGATAAATAATCATTTATCATCACCTACCTTACGTTAGCTTAGTAATTTTTTTACTTGGCGGAACTGAGAGGTGGCATAGGCGAACAAGAAGCAATTGAAGTGTTTTTAAAAATAAATTTATCCCTCTTATTCCCTCGCACGACATCGAATTAACAACACCAATGCTAACTACCGCGGCCCACAATACTTCTAAAAATTCCTTTTCCTTCATAAACGTATATATACGTATAATCATGATGACTTTTGCTGCCTACGCACAAAAAACAAACGACATTGCTGGTGAGCGAAACACAGAGCATTTTCTTTCTCTATCTCCTCACGCCTGCTGTAATCGTTACTTATCAGCGTTGCTAATCGCCAAAATTCATTTCCAACAGACGCTCTGTTACTGCCCCACCTAATATATATATATATATATATATATATATATATATATATACATATCACTGGAATTATTACTATTATTAATACTAGGAAGTGTCTGCCGCCCCACAGCGCCCCCTGTCGGCCCCTTTTACGCACCGCTGTCTTCTCATGTGTTTTGTCTGTCTAAAAAAGATCGTCTGTCTATTCGTTCGCAACGGGCGCTCTTACCAGTTCGTCCAAATAGCTGTCGGCCAACTACACAGTTGCATATTGGGGTCGCTTATCAAAGTAACTCTTACAAAAGCCGTGATAACAACTGCAGCAGCGCCACTGCATCAATTTCTACTGTTACTGTTGAATCCTACCGCTAAAATATGTAAGAAGCGTGATTGTTAGAGGAGATGTGCGCGTCCAAGACGTGCGTCAGGTAATTGGTTTCGGAAGCGTCGACATAACTTGGCGCAGCGTTACGTTCGTACCTGTAACAGCTGTTAGAGACCAAGCTTTTGATTCAATAACGCATTGTGCGGCGGGTGGCGACAACGTTGGACAGGGAAAAAGTTATAAGTTTTGCGGTCGTCGTAACAGTTTAACGTTGTGACATGTATAACAACGTAATTGTTGAATTTGTTCATTTTCGCCGTTGATAGTTCATGTCAGACATTTTATATATACAAATTAACGAGACAACATCATAAGGTCCATTTGAATTTCCTGCGGTTTATTTCAGCCTGGAGCTAGCTTAGAGGGCGATTTAACGGCGGTAGGTATCGATAGTATTATACACTGTCAAAATTAATGATTCATAGATTGAATAAATTCCTTATCCTGAAAATTTACGAACTTTACCTCGTGCATTTATTGCCTAAATAATATCAAATATAACTCCTGTGTATGCATCAATTCAAGATTTATCCAAACAATGAAAAACAGTCGACTCTGAGATACGTTAAACTTCTGTGCGTCATTCACACGAGTGCATTCGTTATGTTCCGAGCGTCGATCAATCGCATAAAGCAACGCGAACCACGGCCATCTTTCTAAACATGTTCGCTTGTCTAGAAAGTACACGAACATACGCATGCGGTACCCGCAAGAGCATCCATCGATGAACCCGGCAGCAATGGGTCTCTATGCCAATAGAAACTAAAGTGGCGAGCGAATGTTTGTATATGAAATTATGCAATGGTCACCATTCTATGAAGCGTCGCAGGACGCTGCGGTACTTCGTAAAGCAGCCTATGATGATTTGCGGTCGTTGCTTGATGACCCGTGTCTGCTGGTATCTTGCTGTGCGCGATCGCTTTACGATACATACATACATGTGTTACCGATGATTGTAAATTGGTTGGTGGCAGTAGCGGCTATGCAGGTGGAAATGAAGTTCGGGAAATAACGCGCAGATAAATTTAATTAATCACTACCTGTAGGCCCCTGTAGCCTGTTCTGGCTATTCCATAACGCCTTAACGGCTGTCTTTGCTCACACTTTAACGCCTTAGAGAACATTCAGATCGCGTCCAGGTATCATGCGGACATTAGTAACCTTGTTTCAATCGTGACCATTAAAGTAACCGTTGCTAATCGTTGGCCCAATATCACTGCTGCAGTGGTAGCGAGGGATACAATATTTCAGAGTCGTCAACTGATAATATTCACGTTAGTATTACCTCATGCGTTCGTCAGCAGTAATAATTATTGGTACAGTATGAACGGGCTTATTGACGGCGGAAAGGTTGTCGTAAAAGCCCAGAGTAGCCTGGCTCAGAGCTACAAGACCGCACGCACAGGGGACGCCGCTCGAAGAAACAACAGCATGAACGCCAGCTGTTAGATGATATAACGAGCGAACAAATTGACTGACTGGACAACCAAGTCGGTGCCGGCATTTCTTCTATGTAGAAATACAATTATCCATTTTCATTGCTCAACTCCAGAAGATATTATGTAAAGAACGATAAGGGGAAAAATGGCGACTATACTAAAATATCAACACTTATGACTTCTAATATTGTTATTATTCCCTATAATTACTATTAAAGGTCAGCGCTGCACGAGAAAATCTGCATAAAAAATCCATAATGTCGTATCGTCTCTCCTTGTTTTCCTCCGGTGGAGATATTCATTAGCGTTGCTTAATAGGACGGCGCACCCAAAGAATTTTTGAGACATTTGCCGTTGTTCATCAGTTCCGTTCAAGACCTTAGGGCCGCTCTGGTGTAGTATTGGCTTATTGGGAGTGTGCAAAGTACGGTTCAAGAATTTCTTCCTTCTCCTTACTGTTCCCTTTTTTTCCGTTGTGTATATTCTATTGCATAACTTCCTGTAGCTCCGGGCCACACGAATATACCATAGCGGAACTACCCAGCCGATCACGGTACCCAGATTAAGTAAAATGCCGGACAGCCGTCTGCTGTGGCTCATTTTGTCTACATAGACTTTGTTTCGTTTTGTATGCACATCTCGTATTAAATTTATACACAATACACGGATACAGAGAATATGCAATCATATGAATCTTAAGTTCGACGCGCATCGGTGACGAAATATCTTAATTATAACCGACCAGGACCGGCCTCCGGAGACGGAAAGGTTTCTGACAGTAATGACGAGAATTTTGCCAATGTCGATGTTCGCAGATGAATCACGCAGCCTTACAGAAGAAATTGCTGCTTGAGTAGCAACACAGCGAAAATGAGAAAAAGCCCGCATTAGTGCTTCTTATCGATGGTACAATCGTCGCGTGAGCCATCGGGGTCCAGAGGTTTTATTTAGCATCGGTTCGACGAGTCGGTGCCTAGTTGCGAATGAAATGGTGATTATTGTGGGGTGGCAAATGGTTTGGACCCCCCATCGCGCGATTGGATACCGGTCTGTGGGGTGCGTTACCATGGTGCTACACAGAAAACGTGTACTGAAGAACAAATGTCGCAATGCTACTTCTTCATATTGTTTATGTACAGTACTTCGATTCCGATAGGCTTCGGTAACAGCATACAGATCTAAGATCAACTCGCGCTTGTTCTTAGCAATTCGACATAAAGGCGTCCGTGTGGCCGGTGACGTGCTCGTAAAGCTAGGCTCTAAGCGGAGCTGTTCAGTGTTACAGGTTCGATTCAACATTACTTTATTAAAACATCAAAGTTTAAACGTCGGCAAGCAGGATTAAGCTTCGTGATGATGAAATGATTATTTTTCATCACTTCCAGAACAAACTTCTCGTCAAATCATGAGTTTTTGTTATTAGCTACGGTTTAAAAAATTGAATGATAGGATATTCGTTTTCACATCAGGTCCATACCTCGTCGAAGACCCGGACAACGCTTACGTCACATGGGAAGCGTGAGGCCAGTGTCGATGGTTGGATTTTATTTTTGCCAAGACCACTACCCTTCACAAATCCTCAATATGTCCATCAAAATCGACAGACTAGATCCTCGTTTAAAAGACATGCGGATGCACCTCGCTTACCTACAACAAGTGAACAGCTGGCTGTACGGCATAACATCCTGGTGTCTGTGGCTTCTCCAAAAGTTCACCGAAGCCATGAGATGGCTTTCCCGCTGACCAAAATAATGATGTTGAAATGGGCAATATCCATCAAAGCTCCTCAGAGATAATGTCGTCTCTTGAACCGCTTGTAGGGTGTTGGCTTGAAAAGACTGCCCGCATTTCATATTGGTTATATCACCCGGAACTCTCCGTCCAAGTCCGCTATGTTGTGATGGAGTGGACTTACCAAGTTGCGGAGTAAGTGGACCCCGGTTAAAGTTTCACCTGAACTCCGGAGTTGCCTAGGGGATAAGCACAGTTTCATCGTTAAGCTTCGTCGGTAAGTTAGTAGGTTTTGACAAGTGACTTGCAGAAGAAACTAAACATTCTGGATTCCTAGTGAGTCGTTGCTGCGGCGGATCGGCAAAAAAAATTCAGAACGGACGTCAATACGCAAATAAAGATATTGCTTAGAACGTGCAAATTCATTCGATCTAGCAACAAATATGGTACGTGTCTGTACGCCACGACCGATGTGTGAACAAGTTCCTAATAAGAGAGTTACTTGCTTTAGTTTTTTTTTTGAAGTCTCAAAACAGGACTCTCCACAGACTGACGTATAATCAGAATCAGAAATCAGTCTTAAATATTGAGACCAGCGAAACATTATCGAAATTATACCTACGTTCACAATGACGATTGTTGTCGAACTGTAGTAAAAACAGTCTTACTTCGGCTTTCCTCGTATGGCTTTCTTGACCAATCAATTGCTTCGAAATATATTACCTTGCATTTCCTGAAGGTTCAGCTTCTTTACCACTAATCTATAATTGGCTATACAGTGCATATTCTAGACATGTTCTACTCAACTGGTAGGAACTCTT